TCACACGCAACGTAATATTACCGTAATTGGTATAGTACAGGTGTGATGGTTCAAATACCAAAATGGCAACAGTAACAGAATGACTTCCCTGGCGGCGATGATAAAATACGAACACGGAGCCAACATATGAGGTTTCAACTGGTACTGGTATTATTATACTCTGCAAACATCAAGTACAATAACGCGGTAAAACTCCAAACCTCCAATAACTAGATACTTAAACTCCAATACAATTCAACGAGATCTCCGATCTGATCTCAGTGCTTAACACTCCCCTATATATACCCACACTGTCTATAAATAGACCATTACATCAGCATACATAATGAGTCTGGAATTTACTATAAATTTCTAGAATGTTCCATTACCTTCTATTGCCTCCTACAGTGTTCTATTACCTATTCAACCAGTCTCTAAACAATTTTTAGAATATTACACCCAGACACAGTACGGTTCTAGAACATTCTCAGTGACACGGAAGTAGTAAATAAGTCGTATGCGACAGACTGTACATCTTGACTTAATTGATTATAACAAGGTATTTAATTATTCATGTTCAAATTGTCAATAAATGTATTCTATATGCGCGAGCCGTATTGATGTGAGACTGGATATGTAGTCAAAACAAATGTCGTCGTGGTTGGTCGGTAATTATACGATGTGCAATGTAATGTTAAATGTAAAACGAATGATAATGTATTTTGTTATTTACTTGTTAGGTCAATATTATGCTGGAGTGATGGTGCTAGTTTCAGTATCTATAGCCATGTCTGTTGCTGTTCTAAATCTTCACTTTCGTGGACCAGAAAGTAAACCGGTCCCAAACTGGGTGCGGAAACTGCTACTCGGGAGAGTCGCTCGTTTCGTTTTGATTCGTGATGTTGCTGCGACAAAATCTGTGAGAGCGAAGCGGAAACCTAGTTATATCAGGCACAGCAAGAAACTTGAACTTTTGCCGATGATGGATTTACAGTCCCCGGTCGGCACCGAAGACATGGACAAACCAAACGGCGTGCAAGGAAGACGACTTGCCCAACATAATTCACGAAAGAAGGCCTCGAGCCAGAAAGTGCTTCGCGTCAGTAAAATAGGCGACGAACAAGTGTACTATCTTCGAGAATTATTACACGAATTCCGTAGTGTGAGGGAGCTGTTTGAAGGTAGAAGCAAAGAAGGAAAAACAAGTTGCGAATGGAAGCAGGTTGCCATGGTGATGGATAGATTATTTATGATGTTATACGTCATAGGAACTTTTATGACGATGCTGGTTATTTTCTTACAGATTGAGATTAATTAATCTACAAGGTGATGCGACTATGTGTCTTTGTATAAATCAGGAAACTTCCGCCAGGCCAGGTCGTCGTGGATACTAATGGGAACGTTGCTGAGAATGATAAGGAAACGTCGGCGCGAGTGACAGCATTCGTGACCTGCATTTACATGGAATTTACATAAAACTGTCAGACTTGGATGGATTTATATAACAGTGGCGACGTTACTCGTGTGTGCATAGTAAATTTGACAAGTGGGCTTCAGGGGACGCCCCATAAGAAGCTCGGCAATGCATTTTACAAAATAATAGTTCGTGGCTTTAACTGTCATAGTATGTTTGACATATGTGCGTATTTTGGCACTGATGGGAATTGCATCATGGTGCAGACAAGTATCGTAGCGGTAACGCACAAAGGTGAATGGATTTCGAGAGGACGAGAAGGAAAACGAGAAATTCTGTTCGACAAAAATATTACCATAGTCACCGATCAACAAAATATGCTCTCTATTGCGAGACTTTTTCCAGCAGTTCTGTCACCTCAGTGTGTTATAGTGAGAAATTTCGGCGACGATGACTCTCAACAAAAGCAATATTTAAAGAAACATTGTTCTCGTTCCGATGTTTGATGGCAATCAGACTTATTTAATGGAGTCTTATGTATCTATTGGCGTATCAATGTACGTTCATTTTATTGCAGATAGACTATATATTTTTTCATATTGAATATTTTAGCAATAGTTTATACTCAGTGAGCATATAGCTTGAGAATCAATAGGGTGATGTCTACAATGAAGGATGTTCAGTTGGTTAGTGAAAAATGCGTCACCACAAGGTGACTCACCAAGTCGAAGCTTCGATAAGATCAACTGATTGAGACAATAATCTGAATAATCTCTTCATTCTAGCTTCTGTTTTTGTAACAGTGATTATGATAGGATGCCTATTACTGCCGCCATTCACTGATTGGATATCGTTTCTGAGCAGCCATTCTCACAGCGGCATTTCTTGTTATATGCAGCAATTTTTATAATAGATTTAATAAAACGCCTTCTTGTTTACGAGCGGTCTTCATCATAGTGGTTTTGATAATGTCGCATGTCATAAATTGCCTATAATTATCGACCGTAGTTAAATCACACGACAATTAAATTTTATTTAAGGCTTGTAGACCAACTATCTTGTGATATATACCGGATTCATAACATAATATCAAAGCAGACTATGCAATATTATATTTTAAACATGTTGTATAATGCAACATCGACATTTATAACCTCATTGACCCAAACCTGGCCATGCTAGATATAGATAATGTGGTATTCGTGTCACTGCCGGATAGTAAGTCAACTAAAACATGTGCACAATAGCTGATATGTACTTCAGCTTGTAAAATATTTTTACATGATCGATGACGATTGTTTATGTAAATCCGTTTCGCTAATAATCGATATATCAGGCCGTGTGCGAAAATGAACTGATGTAACGAGTACGTGTTGTATATAGCAATGCTGACATGTTTTTGTGAAAATTACATCAAGGTACAGAAACATGTTATGAGTATATAAATGAGTCACAAGAGATATACTTGGTTGTTGTGAAATTTACTGACCGTGAAATGTTGATCTTGTCTTTTGAGGGATGGATAAGAACGTAAGACACATTCACATAACGATGAAACTTTACCACTCCATAAGCTATTTAATTTAAAACTTCCCAAACCCACCAAAAGTATTAGAATAGTTTGCATAATCATTCATTCTGTGTATATTTTAAAAATTAAAAATGGCTATAGCATGCATATAGAGAAATCAATTAATGTTTCGTAAAAAATGTTCATTATTATTTTCACAAATATCTTCTTAGAATATGTCATGTTAAGAGCTGATTTCTTGATTGATTTATGTTTTCATAGTGACACGAAGAGGCTAATTAGCGAGGTAGTAATTTTAATTAGAACTGTCACTTCACGGGACCAAGATTAATAGCTCTTAGCAATCAATCATGATTTTCTACATTCGGTTAAACGTCCTGTAAATGGAAATCATTGAAATTGTTATCTTAGTGTGAGGTGATATATATATAACAGATACAAACATATAAAACTGAATGTCTGAATCTATTAACTTACGAGCAAAAACAATTTTGTATTTTTATTATGCGTTGTGACAAGATAATGGTGATGTCGATATAGTCATTAGTTCCTTGAGATATAACAATTGCCCGAACAATTGATTCACATTTTTTTTTTATATTTCAGTAAATTTGTCATGATTAGTTTTAGGCTCTATCTAATCTCTCCAAGCTATGTTGATGGTACACCGTGTTGAGGTGCGCATCTGCATACATCCATGGCCATGCGGTCATGAGTTCAACCTCTTTTTTCTCGTTTATATATTCGTAATTTGCTTGTACTTATACGGTGTTATTTGTTAACACACCCTATGTTAATTATCACCTATTTTTAAAATACTATTATTACGTTGTTTCCTATATCGAAGTTCACATCAGAGCTGGGGTTGGATGGCAATATGGAATTATTTAAATGTTGTCATATTTTCGTAAAAAAATGAACATGAAGCTTTTTTTATAATCCTGACTACGTCTTACATTGTAGTCGTGTAAATAAGTGATTTGGAATAAATTACATGTTTTTTTGTGTGTGACGACGGTGCAGTGTCTGCTAATGGATATTTACAACACCAGAGACCACAATATCCAAAGCCCTGTCATTCTTTACATCTTTGTTCCTGTTAGTGATATCGCGAATTTGTCATCAGTTGTGATAATACATCAATCAATCAACTAACTGAACAATCATAATGAATGATAAAAATATATATAACAAAACAAAAACAAAACAGCATCATGAAATTCACTGAAGGATACCGCCGTCTACATAGGAGTGGTCTCAATCTAGTTTGTAATGTCGATTTATTGAAACACGATAGCACTGACAACAACGAGTCTGACCATGAAGAATGTATAGTCGAAAATCGCAAACATCTTGCGTAATTTGCGTGTTTAGCGTCTCCGAGCAAAATCATTACTGTGATTGGATATAAGGGTGACGAGGTTATTCATAGATTATGAGAAAGGTTAATCTTTAGGCAGCAAATACACATACTATGTTACTCGAAGAGGTTCCTGAAATATTTCGTAGAAATCAATGACAAGTATTTGATCTGCTATAGTGTATAACGCGTTGGGTGATAGTTTGGACTTGTGTGTTTACATACAACATTCTCATAAATCCATAAATATTTGGGCGATTGATGCCGTTAACAAACGAATTCAATCAATATAGCTTTTATTGCAAATGGCGCCCTCCAGTAATCATCCACTTTTGTGACGTCACCAATACGGACAAGATTGCTCAGCACTGTAGTTCAAAATTTGTTTTCATTGACTGAGAAATATAAATCAAACAAATATCGAAGCTGTGAAAAACACTTGTATATAATTGTACATTTTGTTTCACTTCACTACGTATATTAATCTCGGCAACAAATTTTGTACGTGTCCTTGGTATAACTATGATCCGGAAAATGTCTGCATAATCACTGAACGTTAGCAGTCTCAAGGGTGTTCCAGTATAATAAATGGACATGTTCATTCATAAATGTTCCTCGGGGAATGTTTTGCATTAAGATCATCGAACACCATCCATACTATGGTTAATTTGGTTAGGTCAGTGCAGTTCTAATCTACGTTTATACCAGTGATAATGACATTTGGCATTCATGTTTCAACTCTTCTGATTGCATTTCAAGCGCCGAATAAATAAATAAATAAATAAATGAATGTGTGGTGTACGTCTAAACAAATCCTAAATGATGTTTCTTGGCACTGCATGTAAATTTCACCAGTAACTCGATGCATGAACATTATGATTGTCCTTGTCTTATTGACCAATTCGCATGTTGCTGTGTACTGTTTCTAATAATCGTTAATATCATATGCAACTTGCGATGGTAATGCATTTCAAGACAACTTGCCTTTTTCATCTTGATCCATTTTCTTCATCACATGGGATTTCCGAAACTTCAGCCAGGGCTTGTTATACACCAAATTGTCCAAGTCACAACACTGCTTAAGATAGAGATGCAGTTTACCTGACAGGTATTTTAATTAGTTAATTATGAAAACTCCCTTGTCCACAAAACTATATATTTTCGGAAAGCTTATTGTATGAATTTTAAAGTTTTGTTAGTATTAAATGTGCTTTTTTGGTCAAAAGTGATTTTAAAAAAAATAGCTTCTAAACCATGCTTCTGTTTCCTGTCAAAATTGGTTTATGGGTACATCTGTTTACTATGAAGAAAGCGCCGTCTTGAAAACTGTCTACCAGTTGTCAATTTTGTAGGGCAGCAGCTCAAATTTTACTATTTCAAGTTTATGCATAAATTAACACCCAGGCTAGTTGTCTGTACGATTGCTGTAACACTATTCAACTAAATTTCAAAACAAAAGGTCAAAGCGTCTAGGAGCTAATTTGTTTAAAGTTCTGGAATGTGCATTAAAAATAAGCTGAGATAATTGCTAATTTGCATAACAATTCACTCAGTGAGAAGTTTGCTAATGCTCATAATTAAAATGGCTGTAACAGTTTCAAATTTAAATGTATTATCGTTTTGTATAAAGTTAAATACAGTCATTCCTTTTTTTCACCATGTTTCTGTTTTATTATTTATGTACAGCCTTGCTAAATCTTGCTAAGCATTTAAAAGATATAATTTTTGCACCTGTTATCTATATTTTGAAATCATTTTTTGAGTATGTTCCACTATTCACAATTCTACAAAATTTCAACAGTCTATAGCCAAGACTTTTTGGATAATAAAAAGCAAAAAAAAAAAAAAAAATTCACTCCCAAGTGCCCACGAACCTGCATCTCTATCTTAATAAAGGTCAATTGACTTCCGGTCGTGAATTATTGATTACATGGTCGGGATGAAACATAAGTTGCTAAAAGTTTTAACTTAATTCTTCTCATATTCATTCAGTGTGTACAAGTTAATTAATGC